TCTCGAAGATCTCCGAGCATGACCTAAGGGTCTTGAGGTCAATCACACACGGTCTTTTGTTTAGAAATAACTGATGTGTTAACCCCACACTTTGAAAGTATTAAAGATAAAAATCTGTGTTGCAATCTAATGTATGCTACTTTTAAGACAAACGTTTTCTAACTTCCTACTTCCGTTGTATAAAGGCAGAATCGCTGCATATCACAGTTGTTTGATGGAATCACCCTGATGTTGTCACACTCTCCGATCTTAAGTTTCAAACTTCAACTCCAGTCTTCTCCAAACAACCTGCCTGGTATAACAGGACCTGAAAGAAAAAGCGTCCTAGCCCATATGGCTAGATTAGGTGGCCATACTATCTAAATCAGACTCTTACATTAATGTAACGGCTACGATTATGCCACAGTAGGAATGCTCACTATAAAGGAGTCTCTATGAGGACAAAATAGTTCTACACTGCTCTATTATTACCAGTAATTCATAGTAAAAATAAAAACTAAACAACCGAACAAATAAATCAAAGCAATATTCGATTGAAGATCATTAAAACAATCAAAAAATCCACAAGCAAATGGATAAACTAATCTTTGAAACTTTATACTAAGAAATTCTCTTTCTAGTCATTAACAATAATATTCAAAAAATCATGACGTATTTCAAAAGACTCCTTACTTTCAAATAGTTAATTCATTAATCTCAAGAGTATATTATTAGTCAAACAGGTTCAAAATTGAATCATGTAATATTCAATGGAGAGTATTTTGTCTAAACAAAACAATAACAAATTTATTCTCATACCTAATATATATCTGCCTATTTAAGACTCTAATTTTCTAATAAATACCATTCATAATACTTGGAAACAATATTAAACTGTTTGCATTAGATTTCTCTTTTAATCAACAGTTGACATTACTTATATGTGAAAGTAATTTTTAATGAAATAATAATAACAATTTTGGTTAGAAATAAAATGTAGGTCTCAAATGGATTGAATGAATTACATTGTGAACTAAAAAAAAAATTCATTCTTTGTCGCTCAACATTTTCTGTTTATAAAATATTTTAATCATATGATGAGAATCTAATCAGATGATTTTTTTTACTTTAAAAAGAAATAATAATAAACCGACATTTAAGACATTGATGACGTAGAACTATTGACAAAACTGAATATAGTCTAGTTACTTTTAATTTTTGTATTTAAGATATTGTAAACATTTTAAGTAGTATGTTGTAACCTGTAATTAAAGTTTGAGTATTTGATAATATAAATATTATCAATTTTTTTACGTAACTTAAACAATATAAGTGATTAATAGTTTCTCAGTCATTTTGTAGCACTACACTCAATGTTACCTAATGCTGAATGATTTGTCTGTAAAAACTGGAGCTCGGAGAAAAATATCATTATAATTAGATTCATTATATCAGTTGTAATTATTTATTATTATATCACAAAAAGAATTGAAACTTATCTCTTACTTATAATACGACTTTTACAACAATTCCTAAAATATTTTTAACTGTATTCATTCCCTTTATTGTTTAGTGATAACTTTATTACTCACAAGTGAAAACGGCATCACAGATTAACAGTTCTAAAACAAGTGTATTTGTGAAAATATTCTCATGTTCTAGATTCACAAACGTTTTTCAGCAAAACGTCTTGAATATTGAAATATATGTGCCTATATCTGTAGTTAATAACATAAACTGAATACTGTTATTATTAATAACATGGTATGAATAATAATTACATAGCAGACAACTTTAAAAATATGGTTTCACAATGAGTACACTTGCTGATGAACCGAAATAAACGGTAAATAAACAAACAAATTAATTATTTCACTGTTGTTGTCAAATTTAACCTCACTTAATATTTACCATATTTCCTAGGATCATGTTTAACAACTAGAATGCGAAGCTTCTTGTAGATTGTCAGGTATCAAGATAGGTTAAACCACAAACTACCTTTAGTCAGATAATCATCTAAAATAAATAGGTATTAGGTAGCCTTTTCATTACAGTATGAAGTTCCTCTGAAATCCACACATAAAAACTTCAAGTGAATCAAACCTAGGACCCGTAAGATTTGCAATAAATGTGTAACCTCGAAACCAAGAGGTTGCAATCACATCAGACGTGATAAAGATATTACTGATAGTAAAAGATGACTCAAACTGTGAATTAAATGATTTCATCATATGGTCTGAACGTCCTGTGTTTGACTTCCGGCTTGACCTCTGGAAGGTCGTCTAGCCTAAATTAGTCCACGGTAGATACTACCTTTATATTATTTACTTCTTGAATAAGAATAAGTATGTACATGGATGACTAAAAAATTCGATTGCAAGTTTATTTAAAAAATATATTTGTCAGATGAGTGCAAATTCATAACAATAGGTAACAGTAAGATCCACAATGTTTTGTCCAAACTATCAAAAGGATGATAATGAGAACGTCAATACATATATTTAATAATGTATTCTGTTATCGGATTAAATTAACTGAAACTAAACATGTCAACTACTGGATGCCGACTCAGTGAACTAAAGGTTCCACGAGATCCAAAAGTTTTGAGTTTGCTCCTCTTCAAGGTTTTGGATTCGCACAGCTGTATCTCACACAATGACAAAACTGCTACCCAGTGCTTCCTGATTTCCAGTGGTCATATAACCTGGATCAGTTCGTGACATCAGTTACAAAAAGCAAATATAACTTAGTCAATAATGTTCTTTTTTCTAACTGATAACAAGCAGCTGATTAGAAGTGTGCATAACTTTAAAAACTGTTTGTTGAACTAAACAAGCATAGTGAGGCTGACTTAAGCAGTTCTCTAGAACTATGAAAAGCACTTAAAGTATAAACTGTAGTTATTATATGACAGTTGCTGCATATTATATTATCTCATGTGTGTTTACTACTTTTGTTAATCATAAACGAGAGGTTAAAAACAGCAATGGATTTGTAAAAACAAAACTTAAACATAAGAATTCTACTTGGATGTGGACGCCCACATAATTGGATTTAGTATAATAACAACATAGCTATCTAATAGATATCTTAAATGTAAAAAAACTTAATAAGCCTCCATACTTTCGTTAGAAATAGGATATAAAGAGTATTAAATGTCACTGAATCACGGTCTTTTTGGAACTGAGCCTAATTTTTAAATGGTTAAATATTCACTTGGAATCTTAAACGCAAAAGAAAAAGAAGCAGATCAAAATACACATTGCGCAAGGAATAGAGGTTAGACATAGAAAAAATGAATAGCACTCGGGAACGACTAAGAATAAAAACCCAGGACACAGTTGGCTGGAGAACCCTGGTCGGCGGCCTATGCTCCACTAAGAGCAACAGGCGTAAGCAAGTAAATACTCACTAGTGATTGACTTTTCAATATACAAAGACTTTATTTAGTATGAACAGCACCCTGCTACTAATTTTGTCAAAACATTATAAGTCCATACCGAGGCAGTCCAGTAATCAAGGCAAATTTGTTGAATAAGTTACTGTATAACATGTTACTCCATGGACGAAGATACTAAAAGAATCAAGATAGATGGAGTTTAGTTCAAACCACATAGCCGGTGATTAAAAACCAAGTGCTTTACTTACTGAGCTACGACACCACAAGACACTGTAAACGATGAAAACAAGAAAATAGATTTTAAAAATATCCAAAAGATAAGTCGACGAACCCTAAGTGCTTCAGGGGAATACCAACGAAATTGACGTCTCGAAACTATTAGCGACGTATCATCCCAAGCGAATATATAACTCCATGAAGATACATATAAACACTAAACAATTCACATCCTCATCTTGCTTCATTCCTTAGTATTATAAATTTTTTTACGCATCATACACGATCAGATTTTTATGCTAAAACAGATGTTCGTTGCAGTCTAAACATTATCAAGTTACCTGTCCTAACAGAATTAAACTTATAGAAACATCTACGCCTTACAACATATAGATGGAACATATCAAAGATTCAAATAAAGTTCGTTAAATTAAACTTTAAACTAATAAATGAACTAGATTGATTTTGAATTCACGTTACTAAGTATTTTCTGACAAACCGAATTCATTTATGGTAATCGAAACATTTTGGTGGCTCTTTATCTGACTCCACTTAGACCGGACAAATAATCGTTATCAAATGATTTCTGTCGAAATATGTATCCTGACTGTTCTTGTATATTATCATCGACTTAACTCGCGTTAGTGTATAACGGGATTAAATAAGTCAAATACGAGAATGAATTTCGAATACGTGTATTTCATTCAGTTGTTGATCAGAACAAACAATCAGAGAGACAGAGAGAAGCGAAATAACACGCGGTGGAGAAGGCATGCAAGCCAACTCCCATTTTTTGTAGTGGCTTAGCTTCGTTAATCAATCACCTTGATAACCATCATCATATAAATCCCACGGTATTTGAAAGAAGAAGGCAATAAAAAGCGGTGACTACTGTTTATTAGAGGATAGCACAGGTCACAAAGCTACAAGCACATCGACAGAATTTGGAGCAGAGTAAAACTTATAGTCAAATCGAATAAGGGCACAGCAAGGCAAAGGCTATCAATCGGATTCGAGTACATATATATATGGGGAAGAGAATGACTCATCGAGTGATACTTAAGCTATCAACATTTAAGCTAGAGAGAGATGCGCGTAGGTTATCATATGATCAAGAGTACACGTTTGTACATATAAGATAGTGATCATAATAGTACAAAGAAATAGACGAATTGTTACTGTTTTAATAACATTGTCTGTTAAACAAGTTAATAAAAGAGCTTAACAAGAATTAATCATAGTCGAAATTGATTGTATGAGATCTACTGTATAGCATCTATTCTCAGACAGAACAAACAGTTTACTATAATACCATAGACTGACTGAAATTAAAGACTAAAGAAGCTATATATATATTAAAAATATCTATAAAGTTGCCTGAATAACATCAAAAAAAACCGCTTACTTAAGATGTAACTGTTTTTCAATTTTTCTGTCGAATGCACTTGTTAATTGTCTACCATCTAAACGAAGTCGACTAGCAGCATCCAAACATCCACCAGGTAGGCAAACATATTCACGTAACCAGTATAGAACATGGTCAGTGTTCCAACAAAATGATGGCAATATGCAAACATCTGAAGCTATAGGATTTTTTGTCACCTGAGTGTGCTGAATTAATTTATTAGGCAACTGATTTGTAGATATTTTAATAGGATTTCGATCAGAATTATTTAAAGGTTTGGATGATAACGCATCTGCTTTTTAAAAAAAAGAAGTGAAGACCCAATTCGTTAACCATAATAGTTGTGAACATTTACTGATTATATATATAATAGTAATAAGTTATCATGTTGAACACAATTATATTTCCTCATTACGATTATTACTTGAACTGATTCCATAGTTGAAACAAATTACAACAGAAATTGGGTACTACAGGTCGGTCCCATTAAACCTCAATGAATCTCAAATACTTGAAACCTAAATCATTTTTTATCCTAATTTCTGAAAAAGAGTAAAAAATCAAGACATATTTCGAGAATTAAAAATAGGAAACCCTCAATATAATAAGTGCTATGACATAACTGTACGCTTCACACTAATGAAAGTATCTCATATCTATCCAAGATTCATTGTTAATGGAAAATATTTTGAGATTGTTTTTTTTGATAATATCATCAGTGTTAATGCATGAAATTATATTCGATAATTCTATCAGCTGATTAGGATATTAATAAGAATGCTACGCTTTAACTAGCCACAGTAAAGTAGTGATTATTATGTGGTAATCTAATACTATCAGTCAGAGTTTCACTGTACTCAAATAAATAACCAAAGTCACGTCAGATGTTTTCTGTATACAGTATCGGATAATTGAAAGTAACTGATTATGAACTTTAAAATTTGTTCTTGATATGTTTTGCCTGTTGGCTAGTAATATCACAAAACAGACTGATTGAATTTAGCTACCTCAGTGTACTAGATGAAGCATACAATAAGTTTTTTTCTAGTAACACATTTGTGTTCTTGGTGGCATTTGTTGAAGCTTAAATGATTTCATAATAAAACTATGACTCTGACTTACGAACAAACATAAAACCTAGTTTCAGAAATTACTGCCCAAATAAACATGCTTATTTCGTTATGTTTACCAACAAGAACTTATCGAAACAGTAGAGAATGCTCCAGTATTGGAAAATTAGGTTATTCAGAATTTCAACAGATAGAACTTAATCATATCTTTCTCAAACTATCATCTGATACTTGGAAGTGATAATTAAGCCTAGGGGTAATACTGACTGGATAGTTAATATGCAGATAGGAAATATAAGACGTAATATTGAGTGATTATGAGAAAGTTAAGCAGATTGTTTATGAATGCCAAAATGAGCAAAACAATTTACGCCGATAACATTTCGTTTATAGAATGTCAATATTTGATGTCAGAAACAATTTTGATTAAAATTAATGTCATTTACATTTGCATCACACGACTAGATAAATGACGTATTAATAGTATGATATAAATATTTACTGAAAATATCCATGTAACCAAACATTATAAAATACAGGAATTCTCCAAAACATTTGAAAAGTAGCATCTTACAAAGCATCAGTTAATCAAAAAAATCATCTGTAGTCTTGTGAACATTAAATAATGATTCAACCAATATTGAATAAAACAAGTATACCAATTTCTGAAGTCCGTATAATCGTTGCAAATAAATCCGGAAAGAATGATATAAATGAAAGTATTACTTCCTATTAAAGGCAAAGTTGAACTTTGGAAAAAAAATTGTTCTATGCGTTACATAATTACTACTTTATACCGTGTTATCAAGAGATTTTTTAAATTCAGCAAAATGAATCATTGGTTCTCAGTTTTCCTTACAAAAACAATAACAGATTTATAAAACTCATTTTATATTGTTCATTTGAATCGTCCCATTGATGCTTAAGACTACAGCTGATAATAAAAAAATAAATTTAAACCTCACCCCATTGCCCAAGCTAGGGGCTATCAAGAATCAGTAGCTAAGTGGATAACACGATGGCATTTGAAGCGAACGAGACTGGGTTTGAGTCGAGGAGTGAACACTAACTCTGGGATGCATGTACATGCGGCTGACAAGTCCGAAATACAACGAGATGCGCTTCCTAGATTCCACTGCCAGCCACTATCCATCTTTGCTTATAAAATTTATAAAATGTTTGTGATCACCACGAGGGGTGAATATCCTGGATTCGGTTAATAGTTACGTCCTGAGTAAATGACGAATATCTTCAGATTTATGTAACGTTAAGCGTGTAGTTCGATGAATATAGGTAAAGTTACTCATGTGGTTTTAAAGAAAATAATATAACCAAAAGTGGAGTGATATCGGGTTGGCTCTCCCTTGATTTTTCATTTACCATCCCATTAGTCCCACTGTCTAGACTAAAAGTTTGTAAACCTACGAAATATTTAATACGTAACTAAATAAATATGATTATAACTATAAAACAGTCAAAGTAGAAGTATTTTATAGCCTATTTTTGAAAGCGATGACTATTAATAAAGCAAAATAACTGATATGGAATAGACAAGGGCTGTGGCATAATTTAAGTACACTAACGCATTAAGTTATAAAATTGTCTAAGTAAACGTTTTTACTTAAAAAACTAAACGTAAAGAAAACATAGAAATGAACTTAGCGTATTCAACTAAATTAAAATATTTAACAATCATGTTCAGTGTCTCAGTTTTATTTGCAGTGGAAACCTACGTGGTTTTCGATACAAACAGAAGGCCAGGGAGGAAGTATTATCCACCAATTATATGTGGAAATAGTTCACGTTTAAATAGTAATGATAAATGTTTTTTCTTCATTTTCGACACTATAACTCAAAAAAGTGGCTTATATTTGGAAATAATCTATAATTTTCACCCACTTGAAATGACTAGACAATTATAATTGATAAAAAATACCAAAATGGTGAAATAGTTCATACTGTATTTTTTAACGTCTCCTACATGTAAACTGATTAATTATCGTTTAAAATGTACCAATATATAAAAACGTAGATGTAGAAGATTGTCTCAATTATGAAGTATGTATCAGCATACTACTTATTAACTTAATTATTCATTTGATGGTATATATATATATATATATATATATATATATATATATATATATATATATATATATATAATTATTCACATTGTGTAATTTGACTCGGTGACAATTTTCCTATTAAGCCGATAGCTTATTTAACTTCCATTTCAATACATAGGAGTATTAAATAATGTTGATAAATATTCCTTATAAAATGAAAAACAAAACAGATTACCAAGAGATAAAAATGAATGCTCTTTGACAATAAAATAGAAAACTATAAGGGACTTTTTAAAAAAACCTATCTGAATAACTCCTATTTTCTATATTTACTCAAAATACCTTTTTCATAAAATATATTATAATTCATTTTTAATTATCAATAAGAGCTATATGAGAAATGACTGCTGTAGAGAAATAGTGCGTGTTCTAAATGCGGCTCGCCAACATTTTAGAGGCTAGTATCCTCTATATCTGACTACAATAAATAGTATCCCGTTGACTAAGTATTTGATGCAGGCTAAACATCCTAGTAGAATCATGGATTTACTTGAGATTATTCAAAAGCCCGAACACTAAAAATAGAGATAGTTTATTGTTAAGATTGGTAAAATCCGCAATTGTACACGAAGCAAGCACACAGGGAAAACAAGAGTGTGTACGTATGAGTGTGAGTGTTAAAAATCCATATATATTTTTGAGTGTTAATCAAGTATGGATAAATTATTGATTATCTGTGTATTACAACCAATGGGAGAATAGATTAAAAATTGACATATGCTCAATCAGACTCACACAGAAAATTACATGGTGGATCAAGTAACTAAATTACAGTGAACAGATAAATAATACTGTAGTGGAATGTGTTTACTACATTGCACACAATTATGTTTCTAAGAGGATGAAATAATACATACTTCATCTTCTTAATAAAGATATTTTAACTCATTAACTTAAGATTGAGTAATATTTGCTAATTAAAGTAACTTATTGATCACTTACTAAGTCTTTTATACAATGCTATACATTAAAACAAAACGAAATTCTTATAACTAAATCTTAAAATAAACTACTGTTGTTGTCTAAAATTATAGTGATTTTATCTAACAGGAAATAAAATTTATTATCTTGATGGTAAAATTTCTTAGACAGAATGGTTGTATGACAAACAAGATAATATTTTAATTTTAGTAGGTTTGCAAAAGTGAAATGGAAATACGATGATAAATGAACTTGTCCCTTAATTTCTAATTGACAATGTCAAAATGATACAACTTTTAGTTTGTATGTAAAACTGGACTTCGAAAGATTATTTTTAAAAAAAGGATGAATCGCACTCATAAAATACCGGGAGATAGTAGAGTCATGGAGTTGTATATTACATTCAAACGATGTTGTAAACTGTATTAGATTAAGATCATGAACCGATTGGTGTTAGACCACCATTGAAGGTTTGGAAGCACTGGACGGCCGTTCCGTCCCGTTGTGGGTTTCCTCAGCAGTGCGCATCCATGATCCCGCCCGCATGATTCGAACCCAGTGAGATGCGCACAATAGTTCCACAATAAGAAGAAACAGCCATTCAGTGCTTCCAGGTTTTCAATGGTGGTCTAACATCAATCGGTTCATGATCTCAATAAAAAAATTAGTAATTTCCACAACCCTATACTGATAAACTGTATTAGTTCACTTTTAATTATTTGGAAATAAATATCAGCATATGCTTTATTCAGTAAGTGAAAATACTGATGAGCTCAAATACAACTTCCATCTGGACACAGTGTTTACAAATAAGGTATTAGCCATATTATTAACTGTTGTAAGGCTAAATTGGTTAATTCGTTTGAATCGAAAAGAGAACAAAACAGCTTCATACATAACAAACGATGCAAAGACCATTTTTAAAGCTGTATGACTGACTACGACTAATATGAAACAGTTTCAGTAGGTGAGTAGACACTAATTAAACAAGCCTGAATGACACTCAAACATAAGTAAAGGAATTTATCATAAGGAAAAACTTTCAGGATACATCATGGGGCATTAATTAAATTCTATTTTCACAGACAAATTGTAAACGTTATGAATTTCATTAAGGCTTTGCACGTATATAACTTTTCGAAATGAATTCATTAGGGTCATTGAGAGTACTGAAA